TTGCCCCACTTCATATTTCTTGCTCCTTTATCAAAGATTAAGGGACCAAATATATGAGGGTCTGTGCCAGGATATTCAACTCTATTCCACTGAGCTCCAGGTCTGTCTTTATTCCAATATCATGCTGTTTTAATTACTGCTGTTTTGTAGTACATTTTGAAGTTGGGAATGTGATGCTTCCCATCTTTTTCCCAAACTACGGCGCCATGCCTCCCCAGGAGGGAAAGGGTGTTGCTCCCTTCCGCCACCCCTTCCCCCCGCCAGCCCCCCCTCCCCCACCCCCCCCCCCCCCCCCGGCAGAAAGGTGGCCGCTGCCTCAGAGCTTATAGGAAAGCCAGGTACGAGCTGTAAGCGTCTCATGGGAAGGAGGGCGGTACCGGCACGTCCTTCACACCCTGCTGAGGTCGCGAGTTACCCCCCACGAGTGGCTCTCTGGCATGGCCATAACACCAGGCACACAGAAACCAATCTCGTAATTTTCTGGCTCTTTGCAGAAATCCAAAATCGTGGCTGCGTGACATTATATGATTCTCATAACCAACTATAGAAAACAAAATATTTCACAATGCGTCTTCAGCAATTCTGACTGTTTGGGGGGAAATTCTAAACAATAATGGTGCATCTTTTGTCAAAATAATGGATGTAATCAATCTAGAGAAGAGTTAAGTAGAAATCATTTGCCTCACAGGCATTTGGAAGGGTGGAAGGGAGGGTATACTAGGGTTCTTGGTGAAAAATGAGTACTGGTGAAGGGAAAGGTGTTTGATCATTGTATGACCAAGACTTAAACCTGAAAGCTTAGTAACTTTGCCCACAGTGATTCAATAAATAAATAAAAAATAAATTAAAAAAAGTAAGGTGGAGTTCATGCCCAATTCAATCAGCTAATCAGTGGCTGAATAAATAGCAGTACTCCAACAACAACAACAAAAAAGAAATGGTGAACAATATATAGAGACAACCAATGGAGTGCAAAAATTATTTACTCAAAACCTAACTGATAAGAGATTAATAGCAAAGATATATAAGGTACTGGTAGAACTTTATAAGAAAAAAAATCCACTTTCTTCAAAGAGTTTAGAGGAAAAAATAAACAGAAACTTCCTCAAAGAAGAAATAAAAATGGTCAAAAGGCACATAAAAAATACTCTACCTCCTAATCATCAAGTAGATCCAAATCAGAACAACAATGAGACTGGTCTATGTCAAAAAGAACAAGAACAACCAGTGCTGGTGAGGATGTGGGGAGAAAAGGGACTCTTTCACTGTTGGGAATGCTGACTTGTGTGGCCCTTTGGAAAAACAATCTGGGTATTTCTAAAAAAAAACTAGAAATGGAGCTTCCATAGGACCAATCAATACCACTTTTGGGAGTAAACCCTGGGGGCCCAAAAACATACTTCTATGTTCATTGCAGCACTATTCACAGCCAGAATCTGGGAACAACCTAAGTGCCTGAGAACAGATGACCGGATAAAGAAACTGGTACATCTACACAATGGGATATCTGCAGCCACCAGGTAAAATCAAGTCACGAGATTTTCTTATAAATAGATGGACATGAAGAGTATCATGCTGAGTGAAGTGAATCATAAGGAGAGGGGAAGACAGAATGACTGCGCTCATTTGCCGGAGATTAAAAAGAAAAAAACATAGTAAGAGACTAATTCCCAAGGACAGTAGAAGCAAAGGCCAGGAGGATTGTTCCATGAATGGAAGCTTGCTGCAAGTGGTGAAGGAAGGAGGGCAGCTAGGATAGAGAGGTCCATTATGACAGTGATGAAATGATCACTCTGGACAAGAACTGAGTGCTGAAGGTAGGAATGCTGGAAGCAGGTAAAGGATAAACATGATAGCCTTTCAGTAGCTGTATCACAAACCATAATGCCAGAAAGGAGAAAGAAAAGGAGGGGGGCAGGAGGAAAAGTACTTGCCATAAAGGTGGGGAGGGGCATGGCTGGAGAAAAGGGGGACACTTGAGAATCCCAAACAACTATGTAACTATCATGGTGATTCCAAAAAAAAAAGTCATTGTCATTTAACATGGTTCACGTAGATCAGGTAGTAGCACAGCCCCATGTAAATTGTTATTCCTGATAGTGTTGCTTATTTCTGCCTGAGTGATGTGTGAGTCCTGTTCACTGGCCTCCAGTTCACTGGTCTGTTGGTAGAGAATGGATGGGAACACTATTTCAGAACAAAAGCTGAACCAGGAAGGGACATTCATAGGCATTAGGGCCTTGAGTCCAGGCCTTTGCTTCACAGTGGAGGAATATGAGGCTCAGAGAGAAGTGTGGGTGGGGCTAGACTTGGGGGTTGGGGGTGGGGTCACCTCTCACTGTCACTTCACTTGAAATACAGCCCATGGTCTCTGCCATCTTTTCTGGCTTATTTTCCCAGATAGCAGACCCTGGTCATGTATTTGTTCATTTGCTTATGTTTCCCATAAAAAAAAAATGAACACAATCCCATGATGGCACTTTTTACTGCTGGGCTCTGGGTAGGTAATAGGCATTAGGGAACAAGTGAGCTCCCTGTGCACAGTATCACCTTGCCATCACCAGGGAGGCCCCAGTGATCCCTTGGAACACAAAGGCAAACCCTTGAACCAGGGTCCTGGTACCAAGTACTAGTTAAGAGTTAACCCCCCCCCCCCCCCCCCCGCACACAATACGTCCCTAAAAAAGAAAAAAAAAAGGTTTTACTGCTATTTTTCTGGATTCCATAGCAGTACCTGGACGAAGGAATGTGGTTAAAGGCAGAAGGTATCTCCTCATTCCTGTGTCTCATACCTGTAGCACTGTGGGCACCAGTAACGTCTCCGTTGTGAGACCTGTTACTGTTTTTGGCATATAGAATTCACAGGTAGCTTGCCGTGCTCTCCGAGAGGAGTCAATCTGGGTCAGCTGCATGCAAGGCAAATGCCCTACCTGCTGTGCTATCGCTCCGCCCCCTCTCACACCTACTTTCCCCTTTATGTCGCATCTGTTCTCCCTGTTTTTGTTTTCTTGTTTTAGGAAGGAGGGTATACCTAGCAGTGCTCAGGAGTCATTCCTAGAGGTGCTTGGGGGGACCATATGGGGTGCTGGGAATCAAACCTGGGTTGGCCATGTATAAGACAAGCATGGCACCCACTACTATTGCTACAGCCCATTTCTTCTCTTTTCCTTCACCTCACATTTTCCCCAGGGACTGATACTGTCCAGGTGTGGTGAGGGGCTCTGGGAGATCTGTAGAAGGCCAGTATACCTTCAGGCATGACTGGGGGTGGGGGGAGGGTTGTCACTTTTTGTTCATTTGCTTTAAGAGTTCAGTGGGCTGAGCGCATGCCAGGAGCAACCCCTGAGCACTGCCAGGTGAACCCAAATACCAGATATGATTTCCAGAGTGGGCTGGAGCGATAGCACAGCAGGTAGGGCGTTTGCCTTGCATGCAGCCAACATGGCCGACCCGAGTTCAATTCCTCCACCCCTCTCAGAGAGCCTGGCAAGCTACCGAGAGTATCTCGCCCGCCGCCCGCAAGGCAAAGCCTGGCAAGCTACCTGTGACGTATTCGATATGCCAAACAGTAACAAGTTTCACAACGTTACTGAGCCCGCTCGAGCAAAATTGATGAACAGTGGGAGGACAGTGACAGCGATTTCCAGGGTGGTGCTGAGAAGGTGACAGTAGGCCAGATAATGCTGGGAATCTGCCTTTTAGCAGATTCTTCTTCCCACGTCAGTGACCTTTGTTAATCATCTCTCGTGATTTTCAAGTTACTCCACAGCCCCTGAGGGTGGGGGGTTGCCAGACTTATTGCATCCCTGGGCCCAGCACAAGGCCTGGCTAAGCGACTGCTCGGGAATGCTTGGATGGGGGGAGGGGCTGGAGAAGACAGTACAGTGGGTAGAACTTTTGCCTTGCCCATGGCTCACCTGGGTTCAATTGCTGGCATCTCATATGATCCTCTGAGCCCTGCCACGAATACACCTTAGCAGCACTGAATGTGAACCCCGAACCAAAAACTGGAGAGGGCCAAGAACAGAGTTAAAGCACCCGCCTTGCATCCACCTGGCTCTAGTTCCATCCCAGATACCACAAGTTCCCCCTAGAGGCCACTTAGCTACAGGAGACTCAGTAAGCCTTCACATCATGGACCAAGCAGCTCAGGAGCCTCAGGCCCTCATGCTAGCTAAGAGTTACTAGTAGAGCCGCAGAGTCCCTCTGGACCCCAGAGCTAATGCATAGGGTTCCCTGCCATGAACTGCTGTGGGGCTAGTGTGGAGAGTAGAAGTGAGAGCCGCAGATGTGACTCCTAAGGGATTTATTCCCATCTTCAGCCCTGTCAGCAGGTGGAATGGAAGACCCCCCCCACCCTGACACCCTGGGCAGCCAGAGAGTTATACTCCCTCACTGCCTGCTCCGTTTGCAGGATCTGCACATTGATGCCATGCTGCTCGAGGTACTGCACCGTGGATGGGAGCACCTGTATAGAGGGAAATGATGAGTGAGTCTGGGCCAAAGTCCAGACTCGCAAGTGCATGACACAGAAAACTTCACATCTCCCAAGGACCCAGCACACCCCTTAGGAAACCCAAGCATCATGATCTGTGTGCCCAGAGCCTAGGGAGGGTGCAGTCACTGCTAACGGTGTGACCATGGCCAAGGAATGCACCTCTGTCCTCATGTCTGTAAAAAGAAATGTTTGGACTTAGCACACAGGGTTGGCATGAGAGTGAATTTAGTAAAGAATCTAATGGGAAGCAGAAAGATATGGTGGTGGGGAAGATGCTTGCAGCCAGCAATTCCCAGCACCGCATAGGCCCCCTTGAGTCCTGCCAGGAGTGACCAAGAGCAGGTTTTCTGAGGCAGGGTCAGGGAGAACAGGGATGCCAGCACGATGGAGCAGGACAGTGCATGTTGCCATTCTGTCCCATGCAGTCAGCTAACTAAGGAAGCTCACACACACACGGGGCACAGGCCAGTGGTAATGGGAAGCTCTGCAGTCACCAGCTCCTACCTTCAGTGCCTCGTTCATCCCTCGGCCAATCACCAGGATCTGTACTCCATGCTGGACAACTTCTTCCACATCTGCTGGCTGCACGCCTGGAGAGTGCTGGGTGGGGAGAGAGAGAGAGAGAGGCTCTCTGGGAGGTGCAAAAGCCCTTGTGTGTTCTCTGGGGAAGTGCTGATCAGGCCTTGCCAAGTATCACAATGGGTCTTGGGATGACCAGAAAGATGGGGCTATCTTGAGGAGCTGAGTCCAGTGGAAAGTACTGAAGACCAAAAGGAAATGCCAGTGGTTTATAAGAGATATAAGTGTTGTGAGGACTTAGAGGTCATCCAGATGGGATGGTGCTCGAGGAGGCATTGGAAGAAGGTGATACAGAGATGACAATTTTGTTAATTCTGGGTCACACTCAGCAGGGCTCAGGAACTAATAGTACAGTGCTCAGAGCCATGCCCATTCATGCTGGGGGACCAGAAGGTGCTGCAGATAGAACAGTCCTGCATGCGATGTGGAGGCTCAGCCCCTTAAGCTATCATGGGTGGCTTGGCATTTAAACTGAGGTACAGGAGAGCAAGAGCACATTGACAGGACCCTTGCCTTGTACATAGCAAACCCAGTTTTGACCCCTGAGTACAAAGCCAGTAGTAACTGCTTAGCATCATCGGGGTTATTTGGCCCCCCAACAAAATAAATCGATAAACTAAGTGTACAGAGCAAATAGATCAGCCAGGTTAAAGAAAACAGGATACAGAAACAGTATAGGAAAGACAACGTGCCCAGACTCAGATGAGAGAAAGCCTGTGAAGGAGAGCAGAAGCCTTTCTGAGGCAGATGCGGAGCAGCAGGAATGCGGTGGGAAAGAAAGCACTCCAGTACCAGGGCAATATTTGTACTGGAGAAAGACTCCATAAGAACTGCTTGGGGCGGGGCCAGAGTCAGGCATGGCTCAGAACCAATAAGCAAATACAATTTTGTTTTATTTGGGTTTGGGAGCCACACCTGTTTCAGGGATTACTCCTGTCTCTGCACTCAGGGATCACTCCTGGTAGTGCTCAGGGGACCATATGGGATGCAGAGCATCGAACCCAGATTGGCTACATGCAAAGCAAACATCCTCCCTTCTCACTCCCTGCTTCTCAGGCCCCCTAAAATTTCTTAACTATCTGACTTTCAGTAGAAATACTTCCAGGGTCAATAAGTAAAATAGCAGAAATCCAAAACCAACATTTAATTCTTGAACCCAGCTGTAGAAAGCAAATCACTTCACAATGCTTCTTCAGCATGTCTGATTTGCGGGGGGGGGTGGGGGGGGGAACTCTAAATAATAGTGGTGAATCTTTTATTGAAACAATCTAATCAAAGCAGATAGAGTGTTAACTAGAATTCATCTGCCTTGCAGGCATTGGGAGGGGTGGGTGGTGGGGTTTTATTGGGGTTCTTCATGGTAAAAAGTAAGTATTGGTAAAGGGAAATGTGTTTGATATTTGCATGACTGAGACCTAAACCTGAAAGCTTTGTAACCTTTCCCACAGTGATTCAATAAATAAATAAAAAAAAATTTTGTTTGAGCTTCTAGAGGGTACACTGGCAATTGCCTTGAACATGGCTGTCCGAGGTATAATTCCTCTAGTGTCCCATATGGTTTCCCGAGCCCCATCTGAAGTGATTCCTGAGTACAGAGGCAGGAATAAGTGAATACTGCTGGGTGAGGCCCCAAACTTGAAACAACAAATATTTTAAATTGAAAATAGAAAATTGCTTGGGGTTATATTAGAGAAATGATATAGGGGGGCAATGGCTGACCTCAGTTCCGTCGCCGACACCCTATGTCATCCCGAGTACCACTGGATGTGGACTAACACCTCCTTCTCACCACCACCACCTCCCTCTCACCACCACCGTCATCCTTGAAAAAAAACAAAAGAATTGCATGGCCTAAGGATGGTTTATGGGACATGCCTTGTAGGCTTGAGGTAAAAAATCTGCCCCCTGGCCCCATCCTGAAAGCCAAGTGTGGTCCCTGCACCACCACCACCAAAGTGAGCAATCCTTGTGTGGGGGCACCAAAACCAAGAGTGCAAACACTGGTTGGTGTAGTGACAGCAACAAAGGATGGGAAAAAGAAAATGCTTTTAAAAGATGTTCTGGGTTTGGATTTTGGTTTTGTTTTTTCCTGGTGGGGTGGGGGTACACCTGGTAATGATCGGGGCTTATTCCTGACTCTGCTCAGGGCTCAACCCTGGTGGTTCCAGGACAGACAGTACGGTCCTAGGATGAGCCATGGGTGAACCGGTGTCACCATGTTGTAAGGCCAGTGCCTTCCCTGCTGTCTTTCACTGGCCTCTCAAGACTGATTCTATTTTAATTTTTGTTATTTTGCTTTTTTGGTTAACCTGGTGATATTCAGGGGTTACTCCTGTCTCTTTACTCAGGAATCGCTCCTGGTGGTGCTTGGGGGTCCATATGGGATGCCGGGGATTGAACCTGGTTGGCTACTTGTAAGTCAAATACCTTCCCTGCCGTATTATAGCTCCAGCCCCTCAAGACTGATTCTAAAAGAATGTAAGGAGATTGGTTTCACACCCTTTCCAGTCCCACAGTTCTGTAACCAATCCTAGTACTGAACACTTTATTTTGTTTGTGGATCACATACAGCAGTGCTTAGGGGTTTCTCCTGGCTCTGCAGTATGGAATCACTCCTGGCAGTGCTTGGCGGACCATAAGGGATGCCAGGAATTGAACGTGGGTCAGTCATGTACAAGGCCAGAGCCTTATTTGTTGTACCATCTCTTTGGCCAAGGTTGAACATTTCAGATAGGAAAAAAAAACCTAAAAGTTTTATTCCTGAGTTTTGCCCAAGGGGCATAGTTAGCATCTCTTTCTGGAATGAGAGCTTTGCTCTGAATCAGTGAAGGCCCCATTGCCCACTGAGAGGAGCAGTGCAGACTGCTCACTTTCCAGGACAAGGGTGGGAGACCCTCCTGATCCTGGTGGGTGGGGAGTGATGGACCAAACTGGAGACACCAGCCTCCTGAGCTTCTGTGTTCACAGGGCCCGAGGACCTATTTGGGGCTCAGCAGCCCCAGCCTCGAGCAGTCTGCATGGGAAGGACAAGGCTGCAGTAGGCCTCAGCACTGTACTCACCCTCTGGCCCTGCTGGCCCACTGAGGCTCTTGCCGGGCCCTCTTGGACAGGCCATGGTGCTGCTTAGGCTGCCACTTTTCACATTTTTCTCTTGGGAGAAGCTGCAAATAGCAGGAAGGGCCCAATTCACCCCACTCCACAGACTGAGCACGCCCCCTAATCAGAAAACATCCCTGAGCACCCACACGAGTGTGCAGAGGGATGCAGGGGTGAGTGAGATGGGACAAAGTGAGGGCAGGTTCCAGGGCACCTGAGTCTGTTTCCCCAGGCCTGCTCTTCACACTCTCCTCAAAACCCTCTGCAGCCACTAACATGGGTTCAATCCCTAGCACTGATCGCGATCCCTGACCATCAACAGTGGTAGCCCCCCAGAAAGCAAAGAAACTTTTAAAAAGGAGTATAAATAATGGGCTTTAGCAAAGTATGATTGTGTTCGCTCGGATCTTGACTCTAAAACTATTATTGTGTGGTCCTTGAAAAGCTGTGTTTGACCAGGCACAGAGGAGTTGCTCAGTGCAGGTTTCTTGACCTTTGACTGAAGCCCCTCTGACCTTATCTCCTTCCTGTGACCCTTGTCCAGCTGCTGTTTCCTCTAGTCTCAGGGACTCCCAATTATGTATTTCTCACCGGTGGCTCCCCTGGAATGTCCTGGGATACAAAAGGGGGAGTCATAGGGCCTCAGATTGAAAAATGCTGGTTTAATGATTGGTAAAATTGGGGAGGCAGAGGGAGGATTATTTATTATTTCAAGAAAAATAGTAATAGTTGAAAATATTTCCATTCTATAAACAAATCAAACAATTCTTCCATTTTAATGTAATATATAAGGGATCACAGCAGCAACTTATCTCAGAGGAAATGTCACAAAGGATCAACATTTTTGCTTCGTGACGGTTACAGTGAAAGAGTTGATGTTGTTAAACGTGTTAAGCTGCTTTATGGCATTGCACGTAATGCCCAACTCTTTCCTCAGCAAGTGTCCTCTCCACTGGGCTACAGAAAAATACACTCATTATAATAAAGGTGAGCTGTACAACTGCCACTCAGTACTATAGAAATACTGAGAAGGGCAGAAGCAACTCCTTCTCACAAGGATTACTACGTAATACCTTAGAAGAAAATGCCAAAGGTAGGATTTGAAGGGTCTATAAGATTTAAGTAGGGACAAAGGGGACCTATTATAAAAAGGGAAAAGGTTTTAGCAAAGGTACAGATGAATGAAAGAAATGGCAGCTGGGTATGGGAAGAGTAGTTGGTCTAGAGCAGCTAAGGTTTCAAATGTTTTAGGAAATACGGTACATGAGATTAAATTTATAATTTGGTAACAGTGGGCAGCTTATTGTTTTTTAAACTTTCTTCATGGAGAAAGCTCAATGGGCTGGGCACAGGCTTTGCAGGTAGATGGATGGGCTTTGATTCCTAGCACTACATGGTCCCCAAGCTCTGCCTGTGCTTGTGACAGAGTCTGTGACTCCTGAGCACAGACCAGGGTAGCCGGGAGCAGCTAGGTATGGCCTCTTCCACAACAAACTAAAATGGCCTTGAACACTATTCTGGCCCCCCTTGGGGAAGGACTGAGGGGTCATAATACTAGTTCTTTCCTCCTGGATCACTCCAAGAGGGGTCTAGAGGGCATCATGTGTGGCACCCAGGGAGGTCGTGTGCATAGGCAGGCTTCTTACTTGCTGGACTATCTCTCTGGCCCTATTCTAAGACTTTGCTGAATTCTCAGGTTAATGGAGACTCAGTGAATTTTTCTAAGGAAGGTACTGACTTATCAGTTTTATCTTTTGGGAAAGAAAACAGACCTGACAGAGTTTGACTACAACCAGGTAGGAAGTGGATGCAAGCATCCAGGTGAGATAGTTTCACCCCTCTTAGTAAGAGGTAAAAGGGAGTAAGAGGAAAACCCATGCAGGGCTAAAATCAACAAACCAAGTTAATATGCACAAGCTTGAACA